CTGTTACACTTAATATTACAGTTTAAATATAATCACTTTATGCTTGTATTATTTTGACTGTATTCCTGTAATTTTATTTATTTAAATATATTTAGATTCAAAAGGATTTTTTTTTTATTTGACCAGCATGTTTCTTCTGATTTTTTTTTTCAAAGATGTCTACCTCAAATTCAACCAGAAGCAACTTTCCTGGATGAATAAGACAATATTTAAAACCTAAACCTCACAGGATTATGAATCGCTTTGTTCTTAGCTCAAACCACACAGAAACCAAAACATTCTGGAGACTGACAGGTAAATAAAATTTAAAATAAATCTTCATAGTGTTACTGGGACATCTGTGGATCACGGCGTTTCCATGACAACCAATTCATTTAAAGCTGTTTTCTGTGGGTTTACTTACTGTGGAGTGATTTTACTGGAGATTTAGTTCATTACTATTGTTTCTTCTGCTACAGACAGACTTTATTTTCATCATATGGTGAAAATAAAGTCAGTATCTGACAATGGTGTCAGATACTGCAGGATGAGCCTCTGCTCCATGGTTCCAAATTTATTGGTGTAATTTTATTACTTTATTCTCTTGATTTTATTTAATTTTTTCTAATATTGCCCTCTTCCTCCATCGTATCTTGGAGGAGAATTTTAAAAAAATATTTTTTGTTCTTGTTTTTGGAGACGTTTTGAATGTTTCTACTGAGTGAATCGGTTTCAGTTTGTGTTAATTTAGCCATGCATCTCTGCTAACTAACCTGGTTCCATGATGTTTGGTTTAATGTGTCATTCAGGTCATGAAATGATGGAGTAAAGTTCATTTGTCATGTCGGTGTTCTGGTTTTCCATCCGCTGTGACGTACAGATCGGGTTCTGTGGAACATTACAAAATGTTTCTGCAAAACAGACACAGAAACATTTCACTTTGTGCATGAGGTAAAAGTATGAAGACCAAAAAACAAATTTCAAATATAGACTGACATTTAATACACTGCAGGGCTGCTGGAAGCATTTATTTTGAAAGTCCAGTTGGACGTTGCTCAGTGGAAGTGATGGATGGTGAGTAACTCCATACACTGGTTACGTAAAACTGTTTCATGAGTGATTTACAACTTCATGACTCTGGAAAGTCATAAATCACATGACAGTTTTACATTTTTATACTTGATTAAAAACATGAAGTTGTTTTTATTGCATCCACTAAGACAAAAACAATCATTTTCTCTACGGTTGTTGTTGATTTCCTTCTGTGTGAAGGGTTGTTGTACATTTTAGAAAATGTAAATTACCAGATTTTGTTTTCAAAGAAAATGTTCAGTATTTTTAAGCCTGACTTGTAATAAATTTTATAATTCCATCAAACCATGAAGTCTTATTGTGTGTAAAGCTTTCTACACTGCAAAAACACAAACTATTACCAAGTATTTTTGGTCTAGTTTCCAGTACAAATATCTTAGTACACTTGAAATAAGACAAAACTAACAAGTAACTTTTCAGAAAGAAGTGGGAGCTTTTAGTTCCTCAGTGTTAAATTTAAAAAGTACTACTTTCTCTGGCACATTATTTAACTTATAACAAAACATATTTTCTTTTTCTTTTTTTTTTTAAGTTTTATCTTACTTCAAGTGATAATTGCATCAGAAACTAGACAGAAATACTTGGTAAGATTTTGTGTTTTTGCAGTGCAATTCACCTTGTTTCTTATAATCTGAGCTATTGAGAGTAGTGGGGGTCTGAAGATAAAACCCTGGGGAACACCAGATGTAATTTTTGTCCACTCCCATATAAAGTTACCCTGTTTTATCACTTAAAAAAAGGTCATTTAAAAATAATATTAGTAGAATACTACAATTTTGTGTTTTTGTAGTGTAATATCTAATAAAATAAGACATTTGTAATCAAAAAGCATCAGATTCAGAAGATGTCTGATCTTTCTGTCACCTTTTTGTCTCATCTACAATGAACTTTATCCTGCCCCAAAATTTAGATTATTTCCTGTATTTTGATTTGTCGTTGACAGAAGGACGATATTTACACTTGAAACTAAACAAAAATACTTTGTAGAATTTTATGTTTTTGTTGTGGGGACAAAAAGTATAACTTAGTAAGAAACTTCAAAATTCAAACTAAATTGTATTAGAAAATCCAGACTAAGTAGTCGTGTTGGTTTATGTGAAGACGAATTATTAACCATTTCTCTAGAAGGAAGGTGGGACTTTCCCTTTGTTGTGGGCACAATAAGCGGCTTGTCATACGAAAGGGGAGAAAACTATCAGACTCACACGAGAGAAAACCTTCAGGGTTGAGAGGTGGGAGGGAGGACGGTTCAGATTGAAGTGATGCAACTCTGCTGCGTGATTTCTTTCCTGTGACTCCTACGGTTCTCTGTTCAGTTCAAGGTCAGCAAAATGATAACTGTATTCCCTTCTAGGACTTTTATTCTTTCAAAAAGGAATAAAAGTCAGGCCTCCATGGAAACATTAGACAAAAAAAATGACTCAATTAGTCAGAAATGTAAAGATTCTCACTAACTCCAGTTGCAGGGATGTGTAAGTTCTTATTATTCTGTCTTTATTCGCACTAAATGAAAAACTAGAAAGCAGAGCTGATGCTGTTGAATAAACTGTTATTAAATGTAAAACTTTTCCTATTAAAAATGTTTTTAGAAAGAAAATCCAGACTGCAGATATTTGATTTGTTGCCATCTCTCTCTTACACACTGACTACAGGAGAAAACGTTACAGTTCATTTTGCTAGGATAGGAATGTCTCATCTGGTTCCTTTGGAGCAAAAGTGGAACAGAAGTAGTTTGACCTGCAGAGGGGGAGTACCTCTTCTTAGTTTTTACAGAAATTGTTTGGACAGAAGAAACCCCGAGTTCAGGCATCAGTAAAACTCCAGTCAACTACAGCAACATTTAAAGAGTGAAAGTCTTTAAATTTTGTTCCAGCAGCAAAATGTTGGAAAGTCCACAGGTAGGAAACAATGATCTCTGTATGAGACATTTTTTAATGTCTTGTTTGCTTTGTAGGATCTTAAATTTATTTGCTAAATTCATATTTTGCATGTGTTTATTCGTTTATTTGAATCTCTGATGCTTCTAAAATCAACTCAATCGCTTAAGATAAATCACCAGACGTTTTTTTTCAAAAGGTTATTCTGTTTTGGTGTCTTTAGATCGAGCCGTTCCAAAAACCTCCTGATTGCAAAGTCACTCTGCGCCGTTACCTAGCAACCCCAGCCAAGCCCAGCCTGTTACCTAGCAACAAAAGCGGAGTTTCAGCCTGTTTGGTCAGCTGGTTTCACCGCTGCATGTTGGGAAAAGACCAGTGTTTTGTTGTTGACTTATCATCATTAGCTGCATTCTTGTTGGTTGTGCAGGAAGCTCTACTGATGATTTTCAAAGATCAGCTATTTTCACATGTGAGTGTAAACATTGAGTTGGGGTGGTTGTGGCTAGCAGCAGCTAATTTGGATTTAAAGTGACAAGACGCTCCAAAGCAGCTCATACTGAATGGCAGAACTGGGAAGACTAAAATCTGATTATCTAAGAATGATCTTATACAAAAACATGTAGTTAACATGTTTTGTGTAGACCATAGATGTGTCCTAACCTGTTCAAAAAAACCCATCATAGGTCACCTTTAATGTTTAAATGCATTATAAATCAAGATGTTTCCATTTTTACTGTAGGTGTTTTTCCATGTTTCACTCATTTAACAAGTAGGAAACAAACGTGCCTGCTGGACTGTGAGGTGTAAGTTTGTCAAAACCACTCGGTAATTGTTCAAAGCATCTGGAGTTTCACTGTTACTCTACGCCTCCCGGTTATTTTCAGGTTTCTACAGGTTAAGCGTAAAGTTACTATTCAACTTGTTTGAAGTGTGGCTGTGTGGAGTAGCTATGAGTAGGCAGTATCTCACCAGCAGCGCATCCATCAGAAATGAGAGATTTCAATCTGGGTCACATCAATCAATCATCAATCAAATTTTATTTGTATAGCACATTTCAGCAGCAAGGCATTTCAAAGTGGTTTACATAATTAAAATAAAAACAGAAAGAGATTTAAAAAACATAAAAACATCAAAAACATTGGAAAGAGATTTTAAAAACATCATTAAAACGTAAACAGTGAGAAAGAGAAATAAAAAGCTGTATAACTTTAGTTGAGATGCCGTCAACTGGGACTCCAACCCTTTGGACTTTAGTCAAAACGCTATTTGACAAAGACTCTAACCTTTTGGACTTTAGTCAAAACGCCGTTTGACAAGGACTCTAACCTCTCGGACTTTAGTCAAAAAACATGTAAACTTCTAAATAAATAATTACAATGAAAGCAGAAAGTTCCTGATCTAAACATTAGCTTTAGCCTCATTCGATACAAAATGTGAAAAAGACTAATCAAAAATCTATTAAGACATCTGAAAGATCTTAAGTGGGACATCAGTAAAATTCCTGTCTGCAATCTTGGAGCACAAAAAATAAAATAACCTGATGGAGTTTTTGATGTTGCATGAATTGTTGAAAAGACAATTATCATGCTAGCTAAATATCAACAACAATTTTTAAATAATCAACATTTTGTTTCTAGTTTTAGGTTTCAAAATAAAAATAAAGATAAAACAAAAAGGAGATGAATTATGTAAAAAACAAAAAAGCAGAAATATTCCAACCTAATGACAAAAAACATCTAATCTTAAAGTACATTACTATTACTTAATTTTGTTGTCATTATTTGTGGAAATTAAATGCAAATATTACATGTATAAACAAAAAAAATATGGATTTGCTATATATAAGTTGTATTTATTTATTTTTTTAAATTATTGTTAGCCAAAGTTAAACCAAAACTGTTTATTTTGTTTGTTTTTCACTTTTCAACAGACTTTTCATAACGTGATGCAATGGAGGATTTAAATTAATGCAGAAAATGACAAAACAGTTTAAGTTTAAAACCAATACAAAATGTTTCTATTTTAAAACCAACACAAAATGTTTTTATTTTAAAACCAACACAAAATGTTTTTATTTTAAAACCAACACAAAATGTGCTTCACTGACAGGAAGTTTGATTCATACAGGTTAAAGTTCAGGTCATGTTAGTAAATAAAAACGTTCCACAGCTGCTTATCAGTTTGAATCAGAGCATTAATTAAAGCAGTTCCTGCATATTTTTACTTCTGTACAGTAAAGAAATAATTCATAATAGTTAAACCAAAAACAATTCTTCAGAATTAGAAATTCAAAGCTGTTGAGTTTCTGTTATCATGTGAGGCACAAAATAAAGATTTTATAAGAAGTTTTTACAAAATTGTACACGTTGAGGGTAATTAGGAGACATTAGCTTCTAGTCTTTACAGTTTATTTAGTTTGAGAACCGATAATGTGTAAACAGAAAGCTATAAAACTCATAACTTATAAACGCTAAACTAAAACAGTTTGATTTGACAGCATCAAATGTTGCAAGTTGCAGTTTTTCTGGATTTTTTTTTATAGATTATAAAAAAAATTAATTAAACCACTTGAGAAAAAAAATAGCATTTCATCATCAAAATAGTTCAGGCTAACTTTGGGTTAGCTTCGTGTTTAGCTTGTTGACGTTTCAAGTAAGCAGGGAGGCATTTTGACGAAAAAAAGAGAGAAATCTTTAAAGACCTTCTGCTGATTCTGGTGGGGAGGACATTCAGTCTCTGCTTCTGTGTGAATGTTTGGGTGCTATGAAGAAGAGGAGGAAGAGGAGAAGGAGAAAGAAGAGAAGGGGAGGACCGAGGAGGTCGGCGGAGGAGATAGGAGCTGATCGGACCAGGCCGGATCATCCAGGTTTATTTCCACAAATGGGTTGCTGGAGCAAACCGCTAAGAAAAGGAGAGATAGATATGTTTATAAACTAAATTATTTAAACTCATAAATCTTCCAGAAAAAACGAGCAAAAATTTATTTTTACAATTTTTATAAGTCAGACATAAAAACACATTTTTCAGAGTAAAAGCTCAAGATTCTATAAAAAAAAAAAAAAAGCAACTAAAGTCCAGAAAAAATGAGTTTTAGGAAACCTGCAGTTCTGTTTATCGAGATTTTTCCAAATGTCTCACATGGGCGGCTGAGATGCAAAGAAATGATTGTTTGGGGTTTTTTCAGCGTGTGGGAGATCGCCCCCTGCTGGCCGAAGTTTCATCAACAGAAACCCGCTCAGGATAGAGCAACGTGTTACTTTCTCATGAAACAAACTATCTGAGTCCATAAAACACCAATGGAGCCAAAAATACTAGAAAATATTCACACACATAAAGTATCATGTCAATAATTATGCTTCAATTATAAACTGACAAAAAAATCAATAAGCTGCTATTTTAAAAGTTTTAATTTGAAACTGTTTTCAATAAACTAAACATTTTGGGAGATGCCTCTTTTAGAAAATAATAAAACAATGTACAGAATCTGATTTATTTACATTTTATTACATTTTTTTTAGTTCTCAATATTCAATGGAAAATCTTCTATTATTACAGGAATTCAGCTGATATTGTGACAGTTTATCGTTTATTGTTTGCCATCTTTATCTCACCTGCAGATTCTCAGTCAGATTTAAGTCAAAACTGGACGAATCCTGCAAAATGTTAACATGACCTTCAGTCAGAAGGAAAATGAAAATATAAGCAGGGATATGAATAATTTAGGACTCAGCTGTATTTTTTTTCTCCAGTTTTATACAGATACTTCAATAAAACAATTTAAACAAACGGAAAGATTTTTGATTTATGTCACATTTTCCTTTTGCTTGCAGAGAAAATTATATCAAACTCATTAATATTTAAAACTACATATTAAATTTGTTATTTTAATGTTTAAATATGATGGATAAATATTATTATTTAACACTAATTTATAACAACATGTTGAATTTATGTTAAACTAGACCTTAAAGTTCCATTCAACATCTGAACTGGGATTTGGTTATTAGAAAAAGATTTTTTTCACTGAAATATGTTTTATAGCACCTGTTGATTGTGTGGTATTTAAATGAGCTCACATGGATTGTTGTTGTTTCCGTTCTGTTGCTGCGGCTGCGTCTCCTCGACTGCATCGAAGAACAAGTTGTTGCTGCTCATCTGGTTGGATTTCTTCTCTGCCTGGTCGCCTCCTGATAACGAGCTGCTGCTGGAGGAGGAAGAGGAGGGGGACGAAGATCGCTGCGGGTCGTTTGCTTCTGGAGGATCCTGAAGAGCTGCAGGAAGGGACGGAGTTAAAAAGGAGTAAATGTCTGAATTCACCAAAACTGGGTCTGGATCATCAAATGTTGCCTTAAAGGGGAAAATTCACTTTTCATATTAATAGTTTTCTGGTGTCTGGAAAACAAGCCGTTTCAAAAACCTCCTGATTATTAGGTCACTCTGCACCGTTACCTAGCAACCCCAGCCAAACCCAGCGCGTTACCTAGCAACGCAAGTGGAACTCCAACAAGTTTGGTCAGCTGGTTTTACCAGCGTATGCGCTGTACAATGGCTGCTGGAAAGGACAAGTGATTTGTTGTCAACTCACCATCCATTTGTTCTTCATCAGGGTCAGAGATGTACGGCTGTGCAGATGTGCATCAGTTTGCAGCCATTTTCAGCTTATTCTGTTTCTGAAAGGAGCTAAAATAGGCAGAACTGAGCAGATAAAATCTAATTATGCATCCTTGAAGAAGTTAGGATTGATCTATTGGTGATACAAAACATTTTTATTACATTTGTTGCACAAAATAATTCTTGGATAATGAGCTTTTAGTCTGCTTAGTTCTGTCTAGTTAGATTTTCTTTCAGAATGAGCTGCTTTAGAGCCTCATGTCGCCTTAAATCCAAATAAGCTGCTGTTGGTCACGTGCCCAACTCAACGTTTACACTCACAAATCAAAATGTCTGCAAATAGATGCGGGATTATAGAACCATATAGCTTTGAAAAGCAGAAGTGGAGAATCATGCGCAACCAACAAGAAAGCAGCAAGACCAAGCATTTGTCTTTTCCAGCAGCCATTGCACAGCAGTAAAACCAGCTGACCAAATATGCTGGAGCCCAGCTTGGGGCGCAGTGTGACTGAACAATTTCGAGGATTTTGAAACAGTTAATTTTCCAAACAACAAAAACCATCTGGGTGGTTGTTTTTAAACGTTTGAGGTGTTTTTTGAAGCAGTAGAAACCCAGATGGAAATATAGAAATGTGAAAAATGTACATTTTGAATAATCGACTCCTTTAAACATGCAGGTATTTGCTAAAATTCCTGCTGTTTAAATATTTAGATTTCCAAACACAACAACCAAGCATTGGTACCGTTCTCTTCCCCATCTGTGTTCTCCTCTGGTTTTGGGCCGGTGCCGTTGGGTACCGGTGTGGTGGAGAGATCATCAGAGATCACATCTTTGTTAGCCGGTTGGTCTGAGAAACAAAACAAAAACGTTCTTACTCAGGTTGTCAGACGTTTTAGGACATTTAGATGGAGTTAGTTAGTTACCGAGGTCGTCCAGGTAGACCTGACCGAAGGTGCCAGTTGGTTCGTACGCACTGCTGGAGGCCGGAGGGCGCTGGAGGTCAAACGAGTATGTCTGAAAAACAAACAGGTGAATAGAAATTAAAACACAGTTTTAAATATCATATCATAGTGTGATTGTTTTTCTTTAAGGAAATATGGATTTATTTGTTGTTTCTCACCCTGGATGCCCTGCGGAGCATGTAGAGGATGACACACAGAACGATGATGACGATGATGATCAACACCAGCAGGATGTAAGCTGCCGAGAACAAAATGACAAGATTACCTTCTGATTGTCCTCATTTTAGGTTAAAAAATGAATTTCTTCTGATTAAAACACAGAAGAAATAATGAATATCTTAGTAGGGTGGTTAGAAATATTCACATTATTCTGATTAAATTTGTTCTCTAGTGACCACCAGAGGGCGCTGGAAAATTAGCAACATGTTAGCTGTAATTTCCTGAAAACAAAACATCTGCATTCAGTAAGGAAAGTATTAATAGCATGAATGACTTGCATCTGTTTTAGTATAACTTTGGTCTATTTTTAATAACAGAGACATGATGAAACATCCAGCAGGATTCAGGGTGAAAATTCACCTCATAGTGAATGACTGGACTACAATGGAAAAGAAAAAATACTGAGTTTAGAAAGAATAAGAGTGAAGTGGAAAGTGGAGTAAAAAAGTGAACTTACCCCAAGATGAACCGCCTGCAGCCACTGGAAGAAACACATCAGATTTAGTTTTTCACTCAGGAGAAATCTGAGTTAATGTTGGTTTCCTTAATTTATTCCCCTGGTTAAAAGCGCAGGCGGCCATTCTCAAAACAAACGCTGGATAACATTGTTCTTAAAGGGGATTGTGTGTGGGACCATCTGAACTACGCTGCCTTCAGATGGAGTTTTGGCTTCGTAATTTAACTCCTTTAAAAGCTCCTGCTCTTTCTGAAACGCCGCCTTCAGGAAATAATCACAACACGGCTGGTAAAAACCTTTAGCAGCGTTTTACCAGCTCTGTAGCTCAGCGTCAGCTGGTTGCTGCTGCTCAGCTGAGAACTGCCGAGCAGCAGGCCTTGGTGGAAAAGGTAGTGGTGGACTCTGACCTGAACCTTCAGAGCCACTTAAAGACAGTTACAAAGTCGGACTTCTGTCACCTGAAGAACATCTCCAGGATTAAGATCTAGAGAAACTCATCCATAGCAAGATTAAATCCCACCTGATTAGAGCTGCTTCTGAAACATTATAAATGAAACATTAATCAACATTTTGATGTGTATCGACGGCTCTTGACAAAAGCTGCAATTATTGGATGTGTGTTCTATGACTTTATATTTTTGTGTTTTTATGAACTGTGAACTGCCTTGTAGCTCAAATGTGCTATACAATAAACATGATTGATTTATTGATCTGTGTGTCAAAATATCAATCAGATCCAGACGCTGCTGCTGGAGTTCTGACTAAAACCAAGAAGTTAGAGAGCATCACCCAGTTCTACAGTCCTTCCACCGGCTCCCTGCAGCTCAGAGAACAGACTTTAAAATACTGTTAGTTCATAAATCACTGAGCGGCTCAGCACCACAATACTTTAAAGAGCTGCTGTTGTCGCCATAGCAACCTTCCAGACCCCTCAGGTTCTGGTGCTGCATCCAGAACCAGAACCGAACATGGAGAAGCATCATTCAGCTTCTATGCACCACAAATCTGGAACAAACTTCCAGAAAACTGCAAAACAGCTGAAACACTGATTTCCTTTAAGTCAATGCTAACCATCAGTCTAGCTGCCTGTGTTACCAAAAAGGCAGAAAGCGTTACAGGAAAACAGTAAATAAATGTTTCTTACATTGAAAATGAGTTTCTGTGGATATTCACGCAGTTAAACTAAACATAGACGTCCCTCTCCTTTATTTAGTAACAAACTGCAGCCGGTTATCATAAATCTCGCTCCTGAAAATGGCAGCTAAGTGGTAAAAGTGTGTTATTTTTGTTCATCCTGTGACCGTCAGTGTTCGTTCTGGTTAGCTGGATTAAACTTGGCATATCTGAATGTGTGCCTGTGGGTTCTGGTGAGCAGTTAGAGAGAAGTCAGACGTGTGAGTCGCTGTGGTTTGATACAGGAAGACAAAACGAGGCAGAGCGAGAACCTGCAGCCTGCATGAAGCGGCTGAGCTACCTGCTGCGGACGCCGTAGTCGCTGCAGAGGTTGACCCTTCGCCGGTTTCTACTTTCTGCTGCAAAAGAGGAAATAAAAACTCCATTAGTTAACTCCATCTGACATTCTCTTTTTTTATTTCAACCTTCTTGCATTTGATGGTTTGAAATGTTTGTTTCTTCTCCTGGATTTCTGAGAACTGGTTTCGTGTCTCTGAAGCTTTTCTTGTTCATGGTGGGCTTTGCACTACAACCCAAAACTCACTTCCTGTCTGCTGTTTTTCTAGAACGGCAGCGGTGGAGCAGGTCGATTAAGCTCACACGTAAAACCCTTTTTAAAGAGCATTTTACATAACTTTACACAACAAGCAGCATCCAAACGACCACATCTGCATTTCAGGTGCAGAGATGTGAAGATAAGAGGTTAATAATGACAAAACTTTGTTCATTGATGATGCGCTGTTTTGTTGCAAATGATGTTTAGCTCACTGCAGGAATAATGGCTTAGATGAAGGTCAGAGCTGGAGCTTTTTTACCTCCAGAAAGTAAAAGAAAATCTGCAAAACTGTGTAAAACATTACAGATTGGATTCATTTTTAATCCTGAAGTTCTTTATTAATCCTAAAAAGAATATTTTTGTCATAGAGATGTAGATGCGGCTCCTGCAGCAGTCTGTTTTCCAGCAACTTTGAGGAAGCCTCTGACTGAAGAAAGTTGTCCCTCAATGAAGCACAAGATGTGGAATTTCTAACAAAGATGTGCAATTCTGCACTTTTAGTAAAAACAAAGCAACCAAAGAGGAAAATAAATCATGTGAATTCATGTCTATGTGTAATTTTAAGGTCAATTAAACAGATTTGTGCATCAAACTGGAGAAAGTTTCCAGTTGAAATGATCCAAACCATCAGAGATTTTTAGAAAACATATTTTGTATTTATGTTTTTAGAAAAAGTATAGTCAGTATTTGGTTCTGCTCTAGTTCCTCTCAGATAATTTCACTTATAATATGAGAAAAATGTCTGTCTCACCATAAGTGAAATAATCTGCCAGTATTTTTGTCTTTAAATGTACAAAGCTATCTGCAGTAGAAACTAGACCAAAAATCCTTGGTAAGATATTGAGTTTTTGCAGTGTAGATGTCTACTGCAGCACCAACACGGTTTCTACTGTTAATATTAAATCATATTAATGTATATTTGGTGTTTGAACTATTAGAATACGCAGATTAACAGAAGACTTAGCTCAAATAATCCACAGGATTTCTGCTGATTAATTCATGTTTTCACTTCATCCAGTGAATATAAAAATATTCAGGTTACTGAGGATTGTTACCGTGGTTACTGAAGGTGAGGTTGGCCTCTGATGCATTGTGGGTGATGGAGTTGGCATTGATGCGTTCTTCGTCTCCTCTGTGGTTCTGTTAACGTCCATCTTAGGTGTCGAAGCATTAAAATTATCTGTGGCTAAAATAAAGGAGACAAATATCAAAGAAGAATCTCAGATCTTCACATTAAAACTTCAAAACGTTGCAGAGAGAACGATAGAAAACAGGCTAAATCTTTAAAATAAGAGTTGATGGAAGGAAACTAAACATCCCTGCACTTAAAGTCAATAACATAAATACTTTAGTTCAGATTCTTTATTGAAATTTATTTGATCTTTCATTGAAAATTATAATATTTTTAAACTTTATTCAGGAAGAAATACACAAATGAAATGTATTTTTCTATTATGATAATATGTTACTAGATTATTTAGTAGGCATCTATAAACTTTATCCAAATTCTTTCCTGGATTTTAACAAAATGCTTGAAAAGAAAAACCAGAAAAACACTTAAATGTCCTTATGATATAAACATAAATAATGAAAAGCATCTTAGTATTGGTTAACTAAGTAAATACTTTGTATTCTGCATTTAGTGTGAAAATATTTGTACTTTTTCACTAATATTTAGTCAATTGTAAGCCATTTATTGGAGGTAAAATAACCATAACACCATTTTTATCAGTATATTACATTTATGGCAAGCATCTGCACTTTAATAAATCATTTAAAATGAATTAGCTACACAGAGATCATCTAAAACTCAGTCCTATAACATTTTTAAAGCTAATTGTCAGAGAGCAGCAGTGGAAGTCATGAAGATGAAGACACAGTTAGGAAGAGATCAAAATAAATGCAACATTGATCAAAATATTTGATGATTTGATGATGGTAATCAACAAAATGTAGCATTTCTTTCTTGTTTCTCAGTTGGATTAATAAAACTCAAAAGACTGGAGAAATGAGGAGAGAAGAGAGAATAATTTCTCTTAGATTTGGGATAAATTGAGCTCTTTATTTTAGGAAAACGTTGCAAAGTGTAGCATGTTATGCTATTCTGTCAAAATAATGAGGAAAAAGACAATAGCTGATTTAAAAATGAAACAGAATCAAAATCAAATTAGATTCAGTTGATTTATTTAAAAATAATTTGAAAGTAAAATTTCTCAGGTAGTATTTTATTATCTTAAATTAACGCAGGTATTTAATAATACGTGACACTCTGCTCCAAACTCCACACCACTTGGTGGCGGTAAAGCACCAATTTCATTGTTTCCCAACCGTCAAAAAGCGTAGAAGAAGAAGAAAAGGCAAGAGGAAGCAGGAGAAGAAGAATGTGACTTAATGAAGAGTATTTTTACCATTTTTCAGAACATCCATGGTCGTTTTCGTGTCATTTAGTTGTGAGGGAGTGGAAGTTTCTGGAGCTAAATAAGAAACAGGAAATAAAATAAATATAAATAAATAAAATTAGAAAATTCTAAATTAAGGAGGCAGATCATTGATGGTTCACTTGTGCAGAAGTGGCGAGAGTAAAAAAAATAAAAATAAAAACAGAATTGTGCATTTTGGATTAAGACTGTTAAAATTATTTTAGATTAGAAATTTCAGGCTTCTGCTGTTGAACAGGACATCCTTGGGGCAGAGAAGTCTGTAAGTACCAGGATGTAAGAGTTTAGCTAGACGAGCTAAATGTTAGAACAACCTGAAATACAAAATACATACTTTATCTGAAATTCATCAAACGCTGCAGAATACAGTAAAAAATGTATGCTTGTAACAATGATTGCGTTTCTATGGAAACAGTTTAACGATGTAATTGGGTAATACTTTACTGTTACATTTACTAGCTTTAGATGTATTTTTACTACTCTGAACATTTTATTTTTACTGAGTAACTTTATTGTAAAGTATTTCTGCTCTTGAGTCAAATTTCTGGATTTTCTTCCCACTGAATGAAGAACAAACATGTTTTAACCAAAACCTCATCAGACAGACACACACCTGGAGTTTGTTACAGTTTGATCAGTTTTTCATTGAAAGAAACTGATTTGGAAAAATGTTCTTTAGTGTGATTTTGTTATTTTTGTTACTTATATGATTTATCATCATTGTGATACATAAATGCCAAAGTTTCCACTTAAGTTTATGTTCTGGTCTGATGATGTAATTTAAAAATATTAAATGATTGATCAGTTGCTCCGTACTTGAGTACCTTTTACCAAATAATTTTACTTTTATGTGTTGGAGTTTGTGCTACTTTTACTAGAGAGCAATTTCTGACTGTAGCTTTCTCACCGTGTGCTAAAAAAACACCTTTAAATTTGAAAAATGAATTCAGAAGTGGTTTGAGTTTTGACCAGCAGGGGGCGACGTCTGTGACCAAGATAGAAACAAAAATAGACTTTGCTAATTCGTTTAAAATCTCAATCAGCCGCCTTCACACTTATTCATAACACTTATGTCGCTTTTTAAAAAGCCTTTTAATAAATTAGCATCATTTTACACTGAATTTTTCAGGAAAATGCACTCTGTGACGTAAACAAGTCACATCTTTAGGAATTTGTGTTTTAATAATAAAAAAAAAGTCACCAAACAAATGTAATGTAGTTTTTACTTCTATCATTTATTATAGAGCTTACAGGATGTGGATGATAATATTTTCCACTATAAATCATGTTACCTGGAGTTGCAGGAGGTATCGTCGTCGGAGGTATTTCTTCTGAAACAGCAGAAGTTGCTAGAGCTGCAAAACAGTAAAGAGAAATATTACATAAAGCAACATCTTAACATCAAAATTAACAGCTTGTCCTTTAAATCATAAAGTAACATAATGTGTGCAGCATGCAGTTTACTGATAACAGCGACTGACAGTCTTCTTACAGCTGCAGCTGCTTTTAGATGTGTGAAAAAACAAACTACAGCTGGTGCAACATGAGAGCAAAGAGGTGTTAAAAATCTGAGGAAGACAACAAAACATTCAGGTTCTCTGATCACATCTTTATTCTGCTCTATCTGCTGCAAACATAAAGATCTGACTGGTGATTAGACCAAAACCTCCTGCACAGTTGCTAACATTTAGCATGAATACTTTTAAGTCAAAGTAAAACCAGAAACTGCAGCTGCAGTCACACTAAGGTGTGAGGTTAGTGGTGATTTGTCCACTTTTTGTTTAAACTTTCAGAACTAAAAACTGTTGCTTTAATGTTTTTTATCGCCTTTCTCCTCTCACACAGTTTACCAAACATGTTAGCATTCACTTATCTTAGCATAAAGCTGCTAAACTACAAGCTAGCATTTAGTTTTGCTTTCTTTTAAAGATATTTTAGATGTTTTATTAAATATTTACAGAGTGATGTTCAAATAAATGTGGTTATATTCTAAAGATAATCCGCCTCATAGTTACAGATCCAACATTTTTGTAGTTTAATATTTTTTTCCAGAGTTTGTAGTCTCACAAACACGAGACAGATGCAACTGGTTAGCTGCACTAGCTGAAAGCTTTCAGCCATAGTTTTATGAGCTTTAAAAACCGTCACATATGTCTAAAGTTTTCATCCTGAAGGATCTAAGTGATTATTTTGTCACTAAACTCACTGTTACAGCTTCTTGATCATTTTCTAACCTTAATTTAATAATAAACATGTTTTACTTCCTGAAAGGCAACACAGTTTAACGTGTTCACTGAAAAACCATTAAATCTCACCAAGTATTTTGGTCTAATTTTAGTGCAAAAATGTTATTATACTTGAAATAAGACAAAACTAACTTAAAAATGACCTTTCAGTAAGACATATGAGGTTATTTAATGTAAATAGTTCCTTAATATTCATGAAAAAGTTAGATTTATTGGCAGATTATTTCACTTATAAAATGGGGAAAATGTTTTGTTACCAGTGAAACAATCTACCAGTGGAACTAAAACTTCTTCATCAATATTAAGCGATTATTGATTTAAATAAGCTCATATATCTTTCTAAAATGTTCCTCAGAAGTTATTTCAAGTGTAATAAGATATTTAAACTAAAATTAGACTAAATATACTTGGTGGGATTTTGTGTTTTTGCAGTGTAATACTGGAGCTGTGTTTTTATTTACATAAAGATAATTTCCCATGATGTTGCATTTTGATTATTTTTCCTGAATGATAAATGGAGTCAGATTTTTAGTTAGTTGATTCATGTGGAAGAAGTCCAGTCAAATCAAAGAGCATGCTCTTAACTTCCTAAATCTAAACATTGATTTAATTTCTGCATCTTTTCATAATAATCATTAAATCTCATTTAATGCTGCAGCCTAATCAGCAGGACCACAATAATGCTGAAATGTTCTTTCTTATTTTAGCTCTGATTAAAATGAACTTTCAGTAAACTTGGACACACCCCCTCATAAATGTGAGCATCGTATTAATTCCTAAACAGAAAATATGCAAATATTGCACTTTTGCACCAACATCACTTTGCATTTGAAAAAAATAACAGTTGATTTTGGCGGAAACCTAAAAGCTCACTGCGGCGTGTGCTGGTTCTGCTTTACTTCCTGCATGGAAAGCATCAATTAAATGTGCTTCATAGTCTGTGGAAATAATGCAAATGCAGATTTATGACTAAATTAAGGTTTTCCAGATGAGTAAATAAATGACTCTGATGGCTAATTTATGTCCAGCTGCTCATTTTGAACAAACCTTCTTGTAGCATTTGACTAAACCGAACTGAAGAAGTGAAAGTTTTTAATCAGTCGCCTCAGTGAGCGTCTCTGTGTTTTTATTATTAAAGATTTGAGTTAAAAAAAAGGACCTGGGAGGAAAAGTGTGTTAGCAGTTGAAGTGAACTCACCCAGGAAGCAGAGCTGAAACAGCAGCTTCATCATCTTGATTCAAACCGTCTCCAACACTTGATTGTTTTTTCTTTTTACAACAAGAAGCTGTGATCATCAGCGAAGCAGCAGCAGTTTCCCTTTTATTCAAGTTATTTTGTTCCTTTTTCTTTTAAGCTCCTTCCTCTGCGGCGTTTCTCAGTCCTCCACTTTTAGACCTGAAGCTCTAAAACCGTCTCTCTTCCTTTCTCTCTGTTTCTTCCGCCCTCCCCCATCCTCTCTTCTCACCGTCGCCCTGTTTTACCTCGCTGTGTTTTTCTGTTGTGTGTCTTAAGCGTTGTGGTTTGAAGAATTCAAATTTGACTGGCGGGCTCTGAGGCCTGATTTCAGAAAGTTTCTCTGTCGTGACGTGGAACCGTGGATGAAATGTGGATTCTTTTTTTTTCAACGTTTTTATTATTTTCCACCAAGAATTTAGCAAATATCTGCAGAAAAGAGAGAAAATCTAATAAAAACATGCTTAGTGTGCATGAAATCTGTTTTCTTTCCATCTTAACCTTTCCCTTTCCCCCCTTATCTCCCACCCATATTTCTAAAAACAAACATCACTGAATCATATTCTTCTCCGTGCCACACTTGTTGGGCGTCTTTCTGTAAATCATTCTTGGTATCGCTCAGTTTTCAGGAACTGAGTCATCAGCCGCAGAGCGAGCTCCAGGGCCGCACAGGATGCAACAGTAGCTCTGCTTTCTCGCTGCTTCTACCTCACCAGCGCAGGTGTCAACCCTGTTCAACCTTCAGCACAGAGATAAACGTTTACAGGTTACTTCAGCTCTTACCACTTTCACCTCTTCTAACACTTGTTGGCATGGAAGAAATTCAATGCATTTTGGGATTTAGGCAAGTAGGCGTAGTAAAGACGACAGGCTGAAGGTTAAACTGAGCATCAGAACGGGGAGAAACGGGGATTTGAGTCATTTGGAAGGCAGCCAGGCTGGTCTGAGTAAAACAGAAACTGTCAATCTGTTTGGGTTTTCACCATCTGTGCCATCTGTTCACGTCTGAAATAGAGAAAAAGTCAATTGAGGAGCAGTTTGTGGATTGAAAGGTCTTGCTGATGTCACAGGAAAATTTAATGAGATGAGGAAAAAGTACCCAGAAAACTTTCTTTGAGGTCATGAAATGAACAGGTTCACTAAATAATATGATAATGAGTGGAACCGCGCTGCCTGGTCAGAAGAGTCTGGAAGTCCAGATCCATCCTGCGTCGTACGCAGAGGTGAAGGTATAGAAACACTGGAAGGTTTAACCATAAAAAAAAACAACATTTTTATATGACAGAGGTAATTACAAGAAATTTAATTTAAAAATAAATTGGAATGTGTTGCAAAACAGCGTCTTACCTGAAGAAGAGGGATGGATTAAATCCGGTGTACCACAAGGTTTCACCTTCGGGCCCCTCCTATTTAATATCTACACAGTGGCTCAGATAACAAGTAACAAGGCAAATAAAAATACTTACCAAGTTACCAAGTACTTCAGTCAAGTTTCTAGATCACTTGAAACAAGACAAAACTAACTTACGAGTAAGTTTTCATCAAGATTTAGGAGCTTGTTTTCAGTCATTAATTATAATTAAGTGCTGGTTCTGCTGACATATTCGATTCACTTTTAACATTTTTTCAATAATCTGCCACTGGAACTGGTACTTTTTCCTTTGATTTTAAGGAATAATTGGCTTAAATCAATCAATCAAGATTGTGTGTATAGCATCTATCAGCAACAAGGTGGTTAAAACGTCTTTACATTATAAAAAGACAAAAATATAAAGTCATCAACAACTGAAGCATTACTTTTAGCCAAAAGTCGTCAAAATGTTGGTTTCATTTATTAGGACTTTAAACTGCTGGGTTTTTAGTCCAGATTCAAAGGAACTCAGTGTTTCAGCTGTTTTGCAGTTTTCTGTAAGTTTGTTGCAGATTTGTGGTGCATAGAAGCTGAATGCTGTTTGGTTCTGGTTCTGGGGATGAGGAGCAGAACCAGAATAAGTTCCTATATCTTACCAGTAAGTTACTTGTCAGTTAGTTTTCTCTTATTTCAAGTGTGTCAAGAATTTTTCACCTGAAATCAGATTAAAAACACTTGGTAAGACTACATAACGTATCGTCGTTATGCAGATGATACGCTGCTCTACATCACAGCGTCACCAGGTAACTATGAACTAATTTAGTAGAAACTTAGAAAACATAAATGCATGGAGGTGCCATAACTTTCTGCAGCTGAACAGAAACAAACAGAAGTTATTTTCTGCGGACCTCTAATCTGGAACAAATCTCTAGAAAACTGCAAAACAGCCGAAACGAAGAGGACTTAAGCGGCTGTGTGGAGATGTTGAGTGTTTGTGCAGCACAAGGCCTGAAGGTCATCCAGTTATAAAGCCCAGACTGACTGGTGTGCATGTTGAATATTCATTTCTGCCTCTCAAACGTCCATCAAGAGGTTTTAAATGCAAAAGGAAGGAAGTTTTAAACTTTAATACGTTTCTGTTCCCTGAACTTCTCCTTCATGTCTTCACTTTCTCTCAAACTTTAAATGTGACCTTTAACAGCGGCTCTCCAGGCGTCCTAAAGCTCGTTCAAAGTTGAGCTGCACAACATGATGAACAGTTGGCACTGCATTACTGACTGGGCTACAAAGATGGCGCCGGTGCAATCATAACAATGCAATCAGCAAAATGTGGCTAGACAAAGTTATGACATTGATGTCCTTCACAATTAAATGTCTCCTGATATTTCACAGCCTGATTTCAAAAGTTACTTTTTGAAAAAGTTGGGGAAAAAAGGTTCATAAATGAAATTAAACGTATGCAAATTGATGTCTCACAAAATAACAAAAAATATTTTAGTCACCAATAAAATATGACATTTTGAAGTGACTCTAAAACAAGGGAATGGGAAAAAGTAATTATAGAAACCAAATAGCATAAAATGTAAGAAATATTGAACAGATTCAAAAACTAGTGACAAATAAATGTTCAATATTTGCGTTTTCAAAAAACATGCATTTATAACTGGAGATACTGGCACCAAAAAATGTTTTTTTAATTTTAAAAGTGTTTAAAAAGATATAAAAATGTAAAATTTCCCCAAAAACACACAAAGAAAAACAAACACATAATGTCAAAGGACCCAGAATGTTTTAGACCACATTGTTTATTTAAAGTTCATTTAATTACATCGTTGCATAATGGAGCAGAAATTACATTACTTGGTTTATTTTAATACCATTTGTTTATTTTATTTAACGCTTTTTCAGCAGGGTTGTAGTTAACAAGCAAAGCTTGAACAAATGGTTTGTTTTTCTTTTTTATTATCATTATTTTCAGTCTTTCAGGCACAAATGTAACATTACAGGAAGCAGACAGAGGCTGTATTTAGAGACAACAGCTCCTCCCTGTGGTGAATGTTTGGCAGCTGAAAGCAGAAGAAAACAATTAAAATTCAGCTGGAAACTGGAGGAAACTACTTCCTGCTTCACAGCAACAGAGTTTCATCTTTCAGTATTTATTGGAATATATTGCAGAAAACTGAATTAATGCATCAACATTTTTAAAGCAGGAAGTTGTGAAAGCATCATAAAGATCAGATTAGAACAGGATTTCCTTTTATGGGGATGAGAATATGAAACGCATAAAAACAGAATAAAGAGTAAAACACTTTAATGTAAGGGCAAAATTTTAACAAATATTCTGTAGTAAATGCTCTTTGGTATATATTTTTATTAGCACATCAAGAAGAAGTTACCTGAAGATAAAACGATGGTGAAGTCAGGTGTGTCCCAAAAAGATTCTGTGACGTTGAATTCATAATATCCTGGATCATAGTCATACTCTTCTGTCTGAGATGAAACAACTGCAACACCTGCAGAAGATGTAAAAGCAGCAAATTAAAACCATCCTGTTCTGCTCTCTAATCTGAACATGGAAACTCTACAGCACAACTGCAGACCCAACAAAACATGGCCGCCGTCCTACACCAGGGCGGCAGCCATGAGCAAAGGGAGGCTACTTTTTCACAACACTGTGAAAAAAATCACTTCCTCAACTTCAAATACAAATAAAATCTGTGAAATTGACTTCCTTGAGCTGAATGATTTCTTTTTTTCACCCGTATAAAAATGATCTTAACTATTTTCCTAATAGGAACTCAGAAGCTGTTTTCCTTGTTGGCTGGTTTGTGTCACTAATATCTCATTGATCCTTAACTCCACAATGTAGTTTGACTCATTTTGTGTCAGCTGAGCTCAAATCCTAACAATAAAACACTGGAACAACAGGAACAGTAACGGCAGCTGCCACTTTTTCCATCCCGTACCAAAAACATGAAGCTACCAAGAAAGTAAAGACTTTCAGACACCTGAAAAAACTCACCAAGCGCTGAGATCAGCAGGAAAACCTTTAACGTTCCCATCGTCTCTTCTGGCTCTCCTCCTTAAACGCTCTGCTGTCTGACTTTAAGTGTGACCAAGCCTTCGAGAAAGAGGAGAATAAGTGAAACGGAAGTAGAGGAACTAGATAACCACAGCTGTGTGGTTATCTAGTTTCTTGTCACTGGTTATGTGCTTCATGTAGATACAACAGTTTCAAAGTCAACACAAATAAGTGTAAATAGACAAAGAGCAGCACAAACCTGACAAGATGACATGAAAAACTTGAAGAAAGACGTTTCCCATCAAACAACAACTTACTTCCACAATATGTCTGTGTTGGGTGGCGTTAGCTTTAGCTTGTACACTTATTAGCTATATGTGTAGCTACTATTGGCTAAATCTGTTCAAGCAAATTAATTTTGGTTCTGAAGCAATTTTGGTTCTTTCTTTGGCGGTAAAAGTTTGAGGTCGTCTCACCAGCGTAGCGCTGCTGAATTTACATGTTGCTGTAAGCAGATTCTGTTTTATGAATATTTTCTTTCTGTTTTAAGTAGCTGAATTGTATTTCTGAAGATTTCCAGACGTTTTCTCCTGCTGCCAGACAACCACAGCTCGCTGAAGGTGGAAGCAGAAGGTCTGATGTTGAACATTGTTGGTGATTTTGCTCCACAGGTTGGATCTCATGTAGCAGAGAAAGAAAAAATCTGGAAGGATCTTGTTTATTCAGTCAGTCATCAAATAATTATCCACACCTCAAAACACTTCGACAATTTAAACAGCTTGACTGAAAAGGAACAGGCTGTGAAATGGTGCCGCCTAAAAACGCCTCATTTCTGTTCATGTTGAAGCACACTTCTCTGTCTGCTCCATGCGTCTGGCATTCTCTGCATAATGCCACCTTCCTCTTTCCACTTTCGATAACAGATCCCTGTTTCGAAACAGGGATCTGTGGCTAATATGCATTTCTGCTTATAGTTTGTCCTTCACTTTCCACCAAATCTTTACTGAAACCCTGTTATGGGTGATGACGCTCTAAACCAGAAGATCTTTTCTGCTTATAAGGCCTCACACCTGTTTGAGCCGAACCTGAAACCAAGA